TGATTCCTGAGGGAATGCGAAAGGTCAGGAAAATAAAGCCTTTGTTCCAGTGATCGCATCTTCTGCTTCTGAAATGCTACCTGGAACTCGCATATTCTCCTCTATTGGCGAACTAAGGAATATCTTCTCAGAAATGTATCATAATATTCGAAAATGGGACCTGACCTAGCTGTTGGAACGTTTGAAATTAAACTCAATTTATCTGATCTTCAAAAACCTTCTAACGCCTCTTAACTGCTCATATTTGACTTGCCGATCGTCTTCGCATAGGGGTTAATAGGTTGCTATTGGAGAAAAATGTAAGGGGTCAAAGCAAGCGTTAAAGTTCATGGTTTGGGGTAGGTTTGATGTAGCGATTAAAGGTAAATCAAGGATTAGGCGTAAGGCTACATTTTTTTCCAATTTAAACTAAATCTTCAGACGTGCTCATCGCTACTCTCCGATTAAACGATAGCTTTATCTTACGTTCGTCCTTAATCTGCTGACTAGTCAAGAGCTGGATTTGCCACTGAAATACCCAAACCTTATCATGTGTCACCATTTATCCGTCCATCCACAGCTCTATAAATTGTTTGCTTGTCCTTTTGGGGTCTTTGGTGTATTCAGACGGGATAACGGCGCACTAATGTAACGTCTTCCTCTCACTCTTTGACAAGAAGCCATATCTGGTTTATGTTTTTCCTACATATTAAACGTATTCTACAACCGTTCCTTCATTACAGGAGCCCTTAGCTCACATTTTGTTAGTCAAGGTCACCTAGCAGGTCGGTGTACTAAGTATAACGAGCTTGGTTAATTAGGCCGTTTTTGGGAGTTTTTATAGATCACAGATACCAAACTGTAGATTATAGTTCACGTATGAACTAATCGCTAACTCCCTAACATACATCTCCGTCCCCTTCGAGTTAACTTTTTTCTTGTAGCAAGGAGTCTTTTCTGGGCGTTGAGTAGCGGGCGAAGCTTCAAGTGCTCTGAAGCAGCATGTTTAAATCCGTTTTGAATTTCCTTTATAAAATTTAGTCAAGGGGAAAGGAAGAAGTCTTCTCATAGGGAAACTTTTCTACATCATATCATTTCACAAGACAATTTGATGGGGCAGTAGATTCTTTAATAAATTAAATGATTTAAAAAAGTAATTTATATCAAGGAATTCTGGCAATATCCGGCCCTTGTTGAAGACAAATACACTATTTGCAGGCACCAACGAATTTAAACAAAACCAGATGGCATTTGTAATCATTATATTTTCCATATTTGTTTAATTAAATAGTTGACATCCATCTGATACAAATACTCTGGATTGGGGAACAGGTTTGAGTGTGTGAATGTGTTTCTGTTCAAATACAGCAAGATAATCAAGCAAAAAGATTCCAATAATCGAGAAGAAGCTGCGATTGCTAGGACAAGAACTTCGTTTTCTGGACGTTTCGTACTGCTTTGCCATTCCATCGTCAGGAACGCTAGCAGAAATGAAGTTATTCCTGACCGCATTTTGTTTACGCCAACGATATCAGGGAAAATAAACTAAAAAACATGCTTTACTTGTACATGGACAACTTAAGTATACTTGTAGCAGAATACTTATCTGTGTGATATATTTTTTCCAAACCGAAAATTAACATCGGAACGGGCAAAAAATTCGCAGTTTTGTCCAAATCTTAGTGTATTTACAATCACAATTTAGGGCACTTATAAATTTACAACAGGTCCCTTAAGGAAGCAACTATAGGGAAAATGCTCCTTTAATAGGAGAAGGGTGGGTACTGCCATTATATTTTACCATTTCTTGTTCAGAAAAATAAAAAAATGCTAAAATGTTTCATTTTTAAATTTTCTTTACGGTAGAAAAGGGAAACTTATGCACTTATTCACCGGATTCTTTGTTAACTGAAGTCCTCTTTAAAGGGAAAGCTTACTATTAAAATGTCTTGAAATTAATTTTAGTCATTTATATTGGACGTTTGTGGTAGGCGTTCATTTATCTCGGCCAGGGGTTTATATGCTTGGATATGTCCATAAATATAACACAAAAGTTGATGCGCGAAAAAACGTATTTCGTGTTCAGAAATAAAAGGTCAGTGGTTGAGTTCTAAATTGCTTGCAGCAATGATAAGTTCCGAGACAATTCTAAGATTGTCCGTTTAACAGAACACAAAGAAGGCATCCTTAAATTACTTAAGATAACATATAGCTCAAATAGTGTCGGTAATTGGCCAGTAAATGCACAGTATGTATACGAATTCGCGAAAAAGTTATAGGTTTATATATTTTGGTCAGGTTATTTTGATCGCCGGAATAAATTTCGTCCCAAAAAAGCCTCTTAGTTAGGAAAACTGCCCTTTGTTTAGTGTATTGTCAGAAATGGGCATTAATGTTGGCCAACTATCGAGTAATCTAAAATTGAAGAAATGTTTTATGCTATCAACTGAAAAAGAATCAAACCTTTATGCTACAGGATAACCCCAAATTAAGTAATAAAAGTTTAAAACATATCAGTTACAGATCCAGAGAATTGAGTCCGCACTTGCTCAAATACGAGCGAAACCAATGTTATAAAATCGCATTTATGTCCAGCACTAAGAAACAATTTCAATTTTAGGATGTTTTTTGCTAACCTTCGAAGTTTCTTGCCACAAAACGTAATTAAGACGCCTTTGACCACATCGACCGTGCAGGACGTAACCAAAACTCTCCATGTATTATCGCGAAGATGAAGATAAAATTAAATTCGTTTTTTTAAATTTCCTAAGAATTAATTTCTCTTCCTGATATACATCAGTATATTTAAGGTCTATAGACATCTACCCGTAACAAATGCGTACTATACACCTGATGCCGACAAACGGACTGTTGTAGCGAAAAGAAATTAAGAAATTGAAAGAGGTGAACCTTCAAAACTGGCCTATTTACCAGAAACCAAACAGGGAAAGCTGGGGGACTCACTATTGAGCCGAAACCGTCGCAGCTGTGTCAAGCAGCGGCAGAATACCGGCGAAACACATGTCGGGGCTTTTATTTAGTAGCTGGGCTGTTAGTATGCTAAGTGAAAAATCGGTAAAAAGTAAATCATATTAAATACAAAGTATGTAGAGGTATATTTTCCTACATCTAAATTGCCGCTTATGCTTTATTTTAAAATGGAACAGACAAAAGTGTAATAATTTTATCAAAATCTTGCTATATTTATGCCTAATAATTTTTAACTTCACATGCTCAAAACAGGGTCTGGAAGTAATCCGGTATGGCGGAAATTACGTCACTACAAAGCTACACGTCAATTTATTTCTCTCCAGTCAAAATTGATCATTTATCTTTAGGTAAATTAGAAAACCTTCCAGAAATCCCCATTTTCCTTTTTACATTACCCTGGACATTTGTAACTTAAATAGAAATTTGTCAGCTGAATATCCTTGTAAAGCGCTTGTTAAAGTGGTCACCCATTATAGCAATTATTTAGTCTTATTATTTTTAGGACTAATAATACCTGACATGTGTCGGTTTTTTTGTCGAATATGTGTTTTACTTTTTGCAGGAATTTCTAATTATGGCCCATATAACTACCTACAACAAATATATTATTTAAAAACTCCTTTTTTCTGTAAACGTGTCTAATGGATATCTTTCTTTCAATCTTTTGTTATAAAAGCCCAAGACAGCTAAATAGATGGACGAACGTTTGAAGATAGTGAAACCGCTCGAAAATATGCCGAAATTAAAAGGACGATATTAAAAAGAAAACGTTTGAATGAAGAAATGTTATTTTGATCTGAAGAATCTTACAACTCAACATAAAGGTTTATCTTATCTGTTCTAAGTTATAGCTATTTTACCTCTCCAGAATTTGGGCATTATTAAGAAAATTTCCTTTTTTCGTAACAAACGCTTATGAATTCTTACGTTTCTTTTAAGCAACGTATTTTCCTAAGGGTTTTTATCATTATTTCTACGAGTTCTTACATGCGTTAATACTGGTTTGCGAGGGTTTATAAATCAGTCGTAAACATTGGCAGTTTACAGGAGTAATGTGGCGTACATTACAGGTATTGAAGCCGACATATAGTTTATAAAATACCAATTGTAAAAATGTTTTTTTTTTATAAATCATTGTACTTTATACTAGGAAAGTATACTAGTATAATCTAGAGAGAATTTAATAGTTTCACACTATATGTGAAATGTCATGTCTAGTTTCAAACCGGTACGTTGTTGTGCCATTCAGTGTCTTCAAACTGGCTCTGGTCAATGGTGGCTCATAGCAACTAACATGTTCGTCAGTACAAGCGAACATGAGAGTCCCAGGAAGCAATTGAGAAGAAGACCCCTTTCTGCTGCTGTTTCCTACTCATGTTTCTGATGATGAATCCGTGACGGATGTCGAAACGTCAGTCGAGTAAA